ATTTTGATGATCCTGGTAGAAGTCCCTCAGGTACTTGCCAAGCAGTGCTGTTGATACAAGGAGATAAAAAAAAAAGCCCAAAACCACAAGAAAAAGATCTCTTTTTACTGCAGTTACTTTGAAGAGAGGAGGGAAGTCATTCTTCATTATTTCAGTTACTAATCCCAGCAGGTTTGCATCATTATCTGATGAAAATGTCCTTTCTCATTGTTTGAAGGCATAGTCAGAAGGAGCAGTGTGCAAGCCAACTTTCTAAAGCAATACCTGCGCTTTTGTGCTGGGAGCGTGGCGAGAACCCTGCCTCCTGCCCAGACACCACCAACGCGCGGCTGCAAGCCTTCCCCTTACCGCTGCCGCTGCAATGCCCGCTCCCTTTTGGAAGCATGCTTTCATGACAAAAGAGTCTTTAAAAGTAGTTTTATTCTAAAAAACTCCAGCACAAGTGGCAGAAGGTGTCTGTAGTTGCCATATTTGAGTAATCTCTGACAAATGTGTTTAATTTGCAAGTGCAAATGGAGCTGGCGTTTGACTGGCGGGTGGCTGGGGTTGCCAGCTTGGCTGGGATGCTAAAAGTCAATCCAAGGTAAGGTCTCTGGTAGCTTCAGCCAGGGGAGCCTGCCCACACACTGTGAGCAAACAGGGCTGTATGACCCCCCACAGCCTAGCTTGTGTAGTGCCGTCACCTCAACAAGGACTTTACGTCCAGCACGAGTGGCCACCTGTCCATCTACGGCCAGGGTGGTCAGCTGTGAGTCTTGTCCCTCAGCAAAAAATTGGCATGCCCATGACTCAAACGCATGGCGTCTCACTCAGCATCCCTTAATCACCTTGGCCATGCCTTCCTTCTATGTAAAAAAACCACGTTTTTCAGGCTGAAAAAACGTGTCCTCGCAGAGACTTGTGCAAGCCAGGCTCTGCTTGCACAGAAACAGTTGGGTGCTTGGTCCAGTTCGCAGCGCACACAGGAGAATAAAATCAAGCTCCCTTTACTAAGCATGTTGGTTTGTGAGGCTAATGGAAGCAGCAAGCAGTATCCTCACCTCTTCTTCCCGTTTTAATAGATGTGCCTTTGAATACATACACAAAACATTTTGGTTGAAGAAACTGGTGTCACTCTTATGTAGCTGCAAGGATGCTCTCCGTATTTATCACTGAGAGAATCTGTGCAAACTTGTAAGACTCAAGCAAGTATTTGTGACAAACAGGATCTATGAAGAGGTTGCAATGAGGTAAATTTTTTTTTAGCGTATTTGAGGACCACACTTGTTCACTTTGCTGAAAAGACTTGAATTTGAATTTCCATTTTCCTGGGAGGAAAGAATGCTTTCAATAACATCACAGCTAATCCAGGCTGTGCCATCCTTTGTGTCTGCTGAGTGGCAGTTGCTCGATCACTTCAGACGTGGCAGGAATGATGCACAACCTTGAAAGCAAAACTTGCCAGCTGAAATGCAATGTGAAGAGAGAGGGGCAGCCTTTCCAGCTCTGCACGGGTGAGCTGGAGCTGTGTGGGTGATGGCAGGGCCAGGGGACGTGTGCTGCCCATCGCTGGCTCCCCCGAGAACGTGGTGGGGCACATAAAGTGCAAGGAGATGCCCTCAGCTTTCCCCATGGATTTGAGTATGAGGCAAAAAAGCATTCAGAGATGCAGCCAGCCTAAATTTCACCTTGTCCATGTGCCTCGTATTTCCTGCTGGCTGCCTCTTGGTCTCCAGAGACATCTTGCCAAAGGAAATATTGGGCATAAGGCTATAGCTGAAATTTAGGTTGACTAAACCTGGTCCTCAGCATTCATCTGGGGAGTAAGTGGGGAGTAGCTAGGGTACTGTAAATTCCTGCCCAGACTTGCTGAGCACTCACTCATGCTGTCAGAAGTTGCTCGCCTGACTTTTTATGGCAAATACCTGGAGTACACTGGTAGAAGTAGGAAGCAGTAATTATGAAAGATTGAGTATGCGCGTTGAGACTACACAGGTGAACTTGCCTCAAAGAACCAAAGAAATGAATGTAAGAACATAATATTTCTTAAAGCAATTGTAAGGCTGGACTCATTGCTGTGAAATAAAGTTTTAAATAGATATTACAGGCAATATAGTCTGTTCCATGATGCCTCAGGAAAAACATCGTCATCAAAAAGCAACTCTTCTTGCTCTGGTGTTCCAGTTAAGGTAGCATTTATGTGATCGTTAATGTCTGGAAACATCGGGGGGAGGTGTGTCTGTACCTGCGATCGGGATAGACTCTATCTTCATTAGCAAGTGATGCAGCCAAGCAGGAAGAGCTATGTAAAGCACAACAGATGCGGAGCACCCAAGCTCAGCATTTGTGGGAGCAGGGGATTATTCCTCTGATCTGCCTGTAATGTGGTCCTGTGCATTAGGAGCATGCCAGGAGTGCATTTTCCAGTTTCTTTTCACCTACAGGGAGTCCCCGGCTGTGTGAGCTCCTCGCAGTGCGATCCAAGGAGAGGGATTGAAATTCCCTTCAAAAGCACTGAAGGGAAGGTGATGGAGGAGACTCTAATCCCATCCCTGATGGCGACTCCCCTGCTTACTTTGGATTTGTCATTTCCCTTTCCAGCAGGCTGGGACTTGGAGCATTTCACTTGTTTCCCGTACGGATGGACAGCAGCTGGGAGATGCTTAGCGAGTTCACAGGACTCGTGTGCGAACTAAGCAGCTCCAGCATGCCGTGCTGTGGGAGCTGCAGAAAGAAAAGACAAAAAAAATCCCGAGCTCTCTTATTTATCCATTGTGAAATACAGCTGTAAATTCTGTTATGATTTTGTCGATATACGGTGCTTGCAAAGATTTCAAATAAATAATGTTATGATCCCAGGGGCCTTATTGATTTTGTAATAATTTTGAAGAGAAGCCACTCAGTTTCCCGTTTGCTGACAAATTCTTTGCTCCCCAAGGAATTCCTATTGAACACGTATTAAAGACAGGATAAAATAATTCCAGGGAAATACAGAGAGAGGGCTTTGTGCATGGGCTCTGCTCAGCGAATGGGTATTTAACCTCTGACCGGTGACGACAGGTCTCCTTTAGCTCTATTAGATCAACAGCAAGCTACTATAATTAAATAAAAAAACTGTTTAGAGCCTCACCGAGTATGTCCTGGGAATTAAAGCATATGGCAGGGATAGGGAAAAAAGAGTTTCCATATGCTAATGACCCTTGATGTCTGAAATAAATTAGATCCATTAGAGTTTATGCTCAATAAAAAGAAGACTTTAAGCACTCCAAAGTTAGTGACTCGAGACCGATTTTGGCTTAGAAATTCAATCTGCCTGCTTATTAATTATTAGTAAGGCTCTGGAGGAGGCCGGGGATGCAAAATCATAATTCTGTGCTGTATCAGAATTTTAAAGTGCCATCAGTTTCTTTTCCTTCTTTTTTTAATTAAACCATTTTTCATGCTTCCCTTTTTTGTTCTCATTAATTTGATTTCGTTCCCATTTTTGTTTAATTTCTTTCTTTTTAAGGTTTCATTTATCCTATTTCAACTGAACAGAGAACCCAGAATGAATATGGATTTTCTTGTAAGTTTAATGTTTGATTTTACATTCCTGGATGCTAATTTGATGCTGTTCCTTGGGTCAAGCTTTACTGTCAGGCCAGCTCTGTGTGAGTAGGCAAAGAGGGACCTGTTCGGCAGAGTAAGTGGCGTGCTTACTCAGAGCAGTCGCAGCGTTTTGCTGTCAGCAGGTTGACACAGGATGATAACGGCCCTTATGCACAAGGAAAATGGGAGAAGATGCTGCCTCAGAGACAGAAACTGGCAAGAATGAACCCTCTGCTCATTAAAATTACCTTAGCAAATGGAAGTGAGGTGGTGGAGGGGTAACTTTTCTTTGAGCTGGAACTGAGAGGTCTGCTCTCTGAACTGCTGGGGGAAAAAAAGTGATGTTTGGAGGCTGATACATTGAAGGTCTGAGAGCCTGGAGCTTATGGAGGTTGGTCAGTCCCGTTCAACATCTGTCAGCTCTCACCTCTGCAGCTGGAGGGCAGCTTGGCTTAAATGGCTAAAAGGCGAGGAGCAAAAAAATAAAATAAAAATTATTTCAGATGTTTCAAACTAAAAAAAAAAAGGGGTATTAAAAAAAATCCGATTTGTTTTTGCACTTTCTTTTTTCATTACGCTATTTCTAAAACCGGGATTCTTCACTGTATAGAAACACATCAAATTTTGATCACATATTCAGACCTTTTGGAAAAAAAATGTCTGGTGGATAATGATGCTAGAGATTAGCCTGGAATTAGCACTGAAGATACAGTATAAGCAGCTAGTAGAAATATCATAGCCATTTTCTCACAAGACAGCTCTAATAAATCTGGGTTCCTTTTGGTAAATTACCACATTATTTCTTGTGCTTGCTTCGGCTTTTATCCAAATACGTATGTGTTAATGCCAGTGATGAGCATTCAGTGTTTGATTCTCTGCTTTACTAGATCATTTTTTTAAAGGGAAGCGGATGGAAGGGAATAATGGCTTGACACACTGTAGTTCAAAAAAAGCAAACTCAAAGATACATCCTGCTATTCCAGATATTCCATAGAAAATGGACTTCTGGAGTTTTTTGACTTTTTTTTTTAAAGTAAAAAATAAAGCCCCTGAAGTTTAAAAATCCACAACATGGTTTTTGTTATCAGATGAACCACTACATACCAATATTATGACACACTGTTTTATTTCATAGGGTGAATTTGCTTCATGAGACTAAGTCTATAACATGTGTTAGGCTTAGTAGTTCACAGCCTGGGTACTAGATAAATGAACGAGTAGATAGGGAAAAGAACACAAGTTAGAGAGAAATCAAAGATCATTTTCCATCAAAAGGGCATAGACCTGTTATATAGCTTTGGAAATGGATTTTAAATTAACCTATAAAAAAGGTAGTAAATATCTGCAGGAAACGAGAATAGTAAGAATGTGTTTTCTTGAAAGTCCCTGTGAGAAGCACATTTCTTCAAGGTTCCTGGCCTCTCTCCCTCTAGCTGCTCCTGACTCGGATGATGTTGCTCTCTACGTCGGGATCGTCATAGCCGTGATCGTGTGCCTGGCTATTTCCGTGGTCGTGGCCCTGTTTGTCTATCGCAAGAACCACCGTGACTTTGAGTCAGATATTATTGACTCCTCGGCGCTAAATGGGGGATTTCAGCCTGTTAACATCAAGGCTGCAAGGCAAGGTCGGTTGTCATTTCACTCCATGTTGACCAATTCAGGGAGATGCTATAAGGTTATGGTCTCTTGGGCTGCATGAATGATACTCGCTGGATGCTTGTTGGCATTTGACAAAAGGGAGAAAAGATCATGTCCATTTCTTTCTGATAGTCAAGTGTTCAAAACCCATTTTTCAGCTAGCCTTTTTCAGATGTGCTCAAGAGCATAAAGCAGAGGAATTTAACTGCTGAAAGGAGAGCCTGAGTACAAGTGTGAAACACGGAGACATTTATGGAAATACGGGTCCAGCTCAAATTTAAATCAAAGGCAAAGCTCTGACAGAAACAACGGAGGCAGGGTTCGTCACAGGAGTGATATTACAGTACAGTAATTCTATCACCTCTTCCTCCCCTTTGTTTCACTAACAGCCTTTTTTCCCGTGCCCTGTCTCCACAGGCATAAATAGTAGTTAAAGAAGTGCTGTACTGTCAATAGACAATGTAGAAAAAGAAGTTGCGGTAGAACATCATTTAATAATGAGCATTTTTATCACTGGTGCATAACAACTTGATTATTTCCACACTTCATTGGCCAGAAAAAAACACTCTAAAGGTAGTGCTGGCTTTTTCAAACCCCATATTTAGGCTGAAGAATTCCTCTTTTTTCCCAATATGTGTGCGAGAAGAATAAATCAAAGTAAGAGTTAAGATGACAAGAGCGTTGTCGTGTGGAAGATCAGCAGAAGTATCATTTTCTTTACTGGAGATACTTTTAAAACAAATCTCCCAAAAGCGTGATGCAGGTACTAACCCCCCCACTGCAGGGAGTCATGGGCATGATGACTTCATGGGTTTGTTCTGCTTTTTGATTCAGGAATGCTGTCGTTAGGCTAATTAGATAAATTGGTTAATGATTGTCACTTAGCATTTAGGGAGGGGGTATTAGTTAATAAGACTAGATCTACTGAGTAGGGAAAACATCTTGCCTTGAAGCTAAGCATGTCACACTTGAAATCTGAGTGCAGCCTAGAAAAGTAATCCCGGTGAAAAGTCTTTAGAGCAGAAACGTGCTGTAATTTTGTGTGACAATTAGATTCCATAGCAGCTGGGGCAATACAAGCCCTGGAATTTGCTGGAGAGATGCATGGAAAAGGAGATGAAGGTTAGTCTGTGAGGACTTTGTGTATCTTAACCTTTGGTATGAAAGGCAAAATGCAGACCGCAACCCCAGAGCCTTACCCAGGAGACAGTCATCAGGACAGAGAAGTCATGCGGTTCTCCCTTCTCATCTCTAACACAGACCTCCTGGCAGTGCCACCAGACCTCACTTCAGCTGCAGCCATGTACAGGGGTCCTGTTTACGCCTTGCATGACGTCTCTGATAAAATCCCGATGACCAATTCTCCGATCCTGGACCCGCTGCCCAACCTGAAGATCAAGGTTTATAACACCTCCGGGGCAGTTACACCCCAGGACGACCTCTCTGACTTCTCCTCCAAGCTGTCCCCGCAGATTACGCAGTCTCTACTGGAGAATGAGACCCTGAATGTGAAGAACCAGAGCCTTGCTCGGCAAACTGACCCATCGTGCACTGCCTTTGGGACCTTCAACTCCTTAGGAGGTCACCTTGTCATTCCCAATTCAGGTGAGTGCTAGCCGTGTTGGTTTAAAGGCACAGTTCTTTTGTGGGTTTTAGTGGAGTTAGCTTGCTTTTATGCAGGAAAAAGAAGGGTTAGTCCTGGGACTCTGCCTTTTCTGTATTCAGAACAAACAGGTGGAGGTTTTTTCCCCCCATTCACGTCTGCCAAGGTACTTAAAATACTGTTTTCCCAAAGTCCTGGCCACCTTTTAAACAGAATATTGCAGGGCTCTTAGCTGCTTTCTGAGACATGCGAGGCCTCAGAGCTTCCCTGTCTGAAGTGTGATTGAGCATCCTTCACCTTTTCCTTTCATGCCGCTCTAGAAAAGGGACTCTAAGCCAGAAAGCCTCAATCTTGTCATCACGCATAAAAAGGACAAACTAATTAAAAAACAAATTGGTTGTTCTACTTCCAATTCATTGCAGACTGTGTGGTATTGAAGTAGGGCCACATATTCATATTTGGAAGGCTTTTTTTCCTGCACACATCATATACCCAAGGAAAACAAGGCACAAGAGTGTCTCTTTTATATTTCTCTCCTCATTATATGTATTGTTGACTTGTTTTGCAACGAGGAAAAAGGGGGATCGAGCATCGAGTGCCTTTTGATGTAATTGCAAAGTGCTGCTCAGTCTTCCTCATACAGTAGGAGACCAGGCTGCCGGCCCCCTCCGAGCCCCCCAGGCACCAGGAGGCACTTTCAGAGCATCCAGGGAGCTCCTGGGCAGCCTTGGGAGAGCTCAGCTCTCGCAGACGGATTTTTTTAGGAGAGCCATGCTGCTATGTGGTTCCTAAATGAAGTGTTGATGTTCAAAGGAGGTTCAGCACCTAGATGTCCCAATGGGTTTGGCAACATTAACATCTAAAGTGAGGTTGAATCAAATGCATAAAACACTGGATATGGGGGATATGCAGGCTGCACAGTGGTCAGGAGTCCCCCTGCCCGGTTTCTCTGGAGCTCGGAGTCCAGGTAGGACCACAGTACATGTGAGACCACAGCTCACAACTACTTGACACGGTAACTCAAGGTTTTAATTTCTGCCTTCCTCCTTTACATCTTGTGGTCAGCTCTTGGCCGTTTTACAGCACAGTGCCCTGACCAAGGAGAGAGTGCCTACTCTTGTCTCCTGCAATCTTTTGTTTGTTGGTGTTACGGAGAAAGCAAAATGTGTAGGTGGCCCAGGACCTCGGTGGTTTGATCTTTCCAGGACGCAGCCCCACAGTGCCCAGGAGGCAGCCAAAAGTTGTGGGTGAGCAGTAGCCCTCCTCTCTGAGCTACTATGGAACAGGGGGCAAAACCAGCCATTAAATTTAACTGAAAGCTGAACTACTTAAGGAAATCTGGTGCTGACTGCTAAGCAATGTTGAAAATTCATGCTATACAATCCTGGATTTCATCTTTCTCTAAGTAGCAGCTGAAGGTAGACATTAATACTCAGGTTTCTCCTGCCATGGTTGTGCACATTGTCAGCAAAGTCTATATTAGTCTCATTTAATTCACATATATTAATAGCAATCTGTAAAGGGAAAAAAAAAAATGTTATTGCTGTAATCCCTTCAAAATGATTAAAATAAATTTTGTAAAATATATCAATCTGTCTACCGCTACCGTGTATGCCTCCATGCTGCTTCCAGACGTACGTATATCCTCCTAGCGCTATGATCAAAGCCCTTCATTCACGCAGTGCCTGCCCTGTTACAGCTGAGAACGTGCACGGATGGGGTTGTAACAGGCCTGTAAAGAAACAAGTGTCAGAAGGCGTTTGTGGAAAATGTTTTCCTAACCAATCCCTCCCTTTCGAAGCCAGGGATGGGACTGAGCCCCAGTACACCAACATGTGGGAGGTCTCCAGTGTAACCAAACCACATATGCTAAAGAAAAGGGACAGGGCCGTGCAAGATTTCCATAAAGCCTTTCTTGTGCATATGCATATAGGTAAATAATCTGCGTGTAGGTTTGTTTTCAGCTCTGTAGTAATAACTGTACTAAAATCCTTGCCACTGATTCCCAGCTAATCCACATCTGCAAAGACAGCTGGCTGAGACGTGTCCAGCAGAGTGAAAGAGCTGGTTCGTGTGCTGTGTTTGTCGTGTAACGAGAGGACATTTCTGAAATGGCAGTGATGTAAGAACTGAGTCTTGTAATCAAGTGTGCAGCTAATCACCACCGAAAAGGGCACCGACCATATTTGCCCACACTTTTTTCAAGGTTGGATACCTGAATTTTGAGCCACTTTACAGGATCAGGCACATTTAAAATACCAAGAAGCCCAATTTTGTCTCCCTGGTAGTCTAATTAGAAGCTGAGTTCATTAAAAGACAGGATGCCATTTGCAGAGGCCATCTTTCAGGAAACAACTAGTTCTTGTTGCTTCCTGGGACAGTGCTCCACTGCTTTTCTTTCCTGATTTTAATTAAGTAAGGATTGCCTAGGGAGATATGTCCCGTTACAGCTGTTGGAAATTTTAGTCAGAGTTGTTCGTTTTTCCATCGTTTTACAAGGTAAGCAGCAGCATAACCATCTGTCTACTCTTTAAATAAAATAAAAGGGAAGAAAACCCTCTTCTCCGCTCCTGTGTTTCAGTGCCGAGGAATAAGAACAGGCCGGCTGACCGCTGGAGACACCGGGGTTGCAGTCAATCCTTTTTCTCATGAGTTGCTGAGGTCATTTAGAGTCTGCTGGGGAGGCTGGGTGAAAATCTGGCATCTCAGGCTTCATCTTTGGCCTCTCCTGTCACTCCTCTTCACAGGCCCACTTGCCTTTTTCTCTCCATTTTATCTTTTGTGTCTCTTCTGTTCTGCAGGAGTAAGCTTGCTGATCCCAGCGGGGGCCGTTCCACAAGGGAGAGTCTATGAAATGTATGTGACAGTTCACAGGAAGGAGAACATGAGGTAAAAGACTGCCTTTATTTGCTTGTGCATTTATGGAGGGGAAAAGTTTAGTAACTAAAGACCTGTGGTCTTATGCTTATGCAAAGCCTACTGCATTGAAGCTATTTGCTGACTTGGAGATAACCGTGAGCAAAGCTGAGGCTAAACTTTGTCACAAAACCAGCCCAGACTTTTGCTTTTCTAACCAAGAGTTGCACTCTGCAGCAAGCCCTCGGGCTCGAGGGATGCTGAATCACAGCCCGAAGTGAGGAAAACGTGCCAGCCAAGTTTGGTGCAGCAGAGAAGGTGTGAGGTAACCTCTTGACAAAGACCCATGCTGAAAGGACAAGGGAGCGGAGTGAGGTGCTGGATCGGCTCAGCGGAGCCGCAGGTGCCTGAGCACCTGCCTTGGAGAATGTCCTGTCCCATTATAATGAAGGTGAATTTTTATTTTACCCTTAATGGGCTTGGCTAGCCCATACAGTGAAGAGGATGGAGCTAAAGGTTTTGGTGTCCTCCACCCCGCCTTACTCGGAGGTGGAAGTAAGCAAGTAGTTGTCCCGCTTAGCCCCAGGCACTCCGTGCCAGGGCCACCCGGAGTTGATGTTGGGCTGACCCCTGTTCTCTGCATGTGTGGCCAATTCATATTCTAGTTCATGGTATCTGCTGAGTGATCTGGCAGCCTTGGCATAAAAAGTGTTTCCGAAAAGGCCAAGATGCCGTTTGAAGCAGTTCAGGAAAACCTCATGACGAGAAAGGTGAGGTCTTAGTCTGCAGAATGGGCTGATGTGCACAAAGGCTGAATGGCAAATGTGAATCTGAGCAGTCATTACACGGTACTTTGCCTCTTTCCCCTCCTCGTAGCTAGATACATTTTTTGGCTCAGCCCCTTAATGGCTTTTATGATGTTCTAAGCCACAGCTGTTTATACACTGCGTGATATTGAACACTGTTCTTTAGCTTGGTAGTCTTTCACCCATGCTAAAATAATCTGCTTAAAGAAAAAATAAGTAACCCCTTCACCCACCCTTTTACATACATTATTCATTGCCTGCTCTTTGAAAACAGCTAATTGCAGCTGCAGAAACAGTGTCTCTGTTCGTATCTAGTATTGATTGTATTTGTATTACTTTTGTCTTTAAAACAAAGATACTTATAAACAGCATTGAAAAAGAACTCCTTCCTGCAGAAAGAAAAAAAAATTAAAATCAGAGAGCATCCTCTGTTATTCAACTTGCCTCCAAATCTCCCTATTTAAAATATCTAATTATAAAAAACCCCCAGTATTTAATTCCTAGGAGGAGCTATATGTGCAATTATTTTCTTTCCAGCCAGTTATGGAGGGAATCCCTGCCTCCTTACTGATGCAGCTGTGGACAACTAATGTCACGTGCTAGTCTGATTTGTTTTCTTCAAGGCCCATAAAGCCTCCTCTACGTGCTTTGTGGTAGCTGTTACTCAGCAGGTCACACAGGGGATAGAAGGATCGGTTAATCTGTGTTGGGAAAAACATGCTTGGTGCTGTGCTCTGCCAACCTGAGCAAGTGTGCTGAAGTACACCTGTGGAAGTGAAGGGAAAGGTGTGAATCCTCATGTGCAATGAAGACTTTGAGCCGGGATTCCTTTCCCTAGGGGAGGAGAGCAGAGAGTGGGCTGCCTTGGCCATGGGGCAGCAGGGCTCATCCCATCGTGGCGGTGATCGCTTCCTGGGTGCGCAGACCCCAGCTGCTGCTTTGATTTAAGGCAGCTTTTCAGCCCCCCTCCAGCATGCCAGGCTCGTCATGCTCATGGAAACCAACCACTTCTAGGACATTTAAAGTGGAGCTCGTTGGGTGTCATCTAGATCACTCAGAACCACAGAGTCACCAAAAAGGGCTTAAACACCACGGACTGCAATGTCCTCCCCTGTTACCTGCTCCCTTTCCCCAGGTGCCCCGGAGCAGAAAGGGGTGGGTGGCACCCAGCTGTAATGGTCTTCTGCTGCAGGACTGTGTGACCAGACACTCCACTTGCTGTAGCAGAGCTGCACCTCTGTCAAAACCTCTTTTTCTGACTGCATGGACCACAGCTGTTGCTTCATGTAATTGGAGTTATATGGGTACCACAAGTTAGTGTGCAGCGTAATTATGTTTTAAATCCACTGCTGCACTCTTATAGCACTCCAGCAGAGAGTGATAGTCCACGGTGAGGACTAGCTGCAGACGTGCTTTTGTGGCCAAGTGGTAACTGGAGTGCGTTCAATAAATGCTGTGATACCCTGGATTTATTTTCGTGAGCACTGTGTAAACGTGTATGGGTTGAAAAGTCCTGTTGTGTGTTGTTGTGGTTTGGAAGGGGACATATAGAAAACTATAAAATTGGTGTTATAATCAGAAATGAAGGCAGGCTCTTTTTCTTGATATACAACCGCCACTGAGGCGGGAACGTGGTCCCCATAGCGCTACCCAAAATAGAACCCGTGCAGCAACAGAGAGGTGTACCATCACAGCTTGCATATCTCCGGCAACTTGAAGATTTAGCTCACACTTTGTTTGTAGAAATATGAAATGACTTCTGAACAGTCAAGCTGAAACAGGAATTCTGTTATCCCTCAGAGTCCTGCAAATTCCCCTTGTCCTTCCTTTGTTTTCCTAGTACATTTCCCCAGTTAGTCTCTGAAACCTGTAGTACAGACATCTGAATTCATAACCCAGTAATATCACTCTTTGTGTTGCCTTGCAGATTGGTTAGGAGAGCTTTCTGAGACACTCTATTTATTCCATTTCGTATCCATCAAAGGATGTGAGAGCAGGAGGGTCACCCTAAAAGCATTATCCTTCTGCGGTGAATTGGGTTCTGATGGCTTGCAATAAACGCTGCTTGGAGGCAGTTGTTTTCTCTAAGTGTGTTAGTGTGCTTGTGGCACAGTGGGTTTTCGCTTTTCCTAGACTAGTACTCCAGCAGGCTCTTTTTCCTACTCCTGCACTGCAAAGTCATCCTCATGCTGCCTGTCATTCGGGGCAGGATGGGTGGCGAGCAGATACTGGGCTCTGATCCCTGGCTGGTGTGTCGGCCTCGTGGAAATGTCCATGTGCTTTATGAAGCGGCTACGGTGGGGAAAAGGGGTATCTACGTGTGTGTGTGTGTTTGTACACTTATATGTATGTGTGTGTGCATCTCTATTCCCCCCCCCCCCCAAAATGACAAGCCTCTGAGAATATTTCACAAATCTCAGACAAGTTTCTGTCTTGAAGGTCGTTGTTTTTTTCAACGGTGATCAGATGCTCTCTCCCTTAGTCTGGGGAAGTGTCACCAACTTTGAGACTTGCAAGTAGTTGTAGTTTCACCTCTAAAATACCGGTACCTGGCAAGAGCCTGTTCCCATGAGTATCTGTGAGAGCCTAGGTCTTACACGACTGAGGATTAAATAGCATGAGTATAAACCTCCAACCGTCAGGATTTTCTTGACTGCCTCGGGTTAAAAAACAAATTCAGCTGAGAGCTAAACTAGTGAGGCTGTGTGCTTCCTTCGGAAACATCTGGCACTGGCCAGTGCTAGACGGGGTCTGGGTCTTGACGGACCACTGGTTTGATCTCGTATGGCAGTTCCTGTGTTCCTGCCGGAACCCCTGCCAAGCTTGCACAGCTTTAGGTGGAGCTACTCTTGCGTACTCTAATCAGAGGCAAGAACTGCACTAAATATGGCACAGTGAAGGACACTCCTGTATAATCCATCACACAGGAGATGATGCAAATGAGAGTCAATGCTGCTGTGCCCACAAAATGTGACAACCCTGAAGAACGGAGCAAGCAGCACTCCTGAAGATCTTGATGGAAGACACACATAAATTGTGCAACTTCCAAATTAGCTACCTTGAAAGAGAGAGGGCTCAGATGAGCCTTGTCAGGATTTGGATCAGTGGCTGCATAGTGTATGCATAGACTTTATATTAAAGTCACATAGCTGATCAGTGAGTTTGATCCAAGGAGCAATGTTGCCTTTTTCACCAGTAAACCCTAAGCGTAGTGATGTGAAATAAAAGAAATTGAAGTCTTCCGCATCTCATTTCTCCACCTTCCTTCTGTGTCTCAGTTGCATAAACAAAATTACTTTGCAACTCCAGAAGACAATTTCATGAAGTGCCAGTCACTATAATTGAAAAATTCAAAATAAAAAAGGGCAGACCATGAGCAAAAGGGGAGGAAAACTTTTCAGATCATTTTCCTTCTAAAGATAGACTGGCAGAAGAACCAGGGTCGGTCAAGAGTATTAAGTTTGAAACTTAAGAAAGAACATATATTAAAAATAAAGCCCCAGTGATGAAAGGAGAAATAAAATGTCTTCCTTCTGACTTTTGGCTAAGCTGTGTAGAAGGGTTGCCATCTGTTGCTGTGAGTTAGCCCTTCCTCTCTCCCTGCTCCGTCCTGTGCTGCTGTGATTGCCTATAACATCTACGCGTGGTGCCAGGGACCGCGACGTAGGCCCACTGAGGAGCAGAGATTTCTCTAGTTCTGCTCACATCTGCTGTCTGACAGCTACCTTAATGAATACGGTCTGGCTTATTACAGGGAGATGGTTTTGAATGAGTAATCCCATTAAAAACACAAATTGGATTGTGAAGGGACCAGATACAGTGAATAAAAGTTTGTTTGCTTTTAAATAAGAGTTAACTGTTCCTGATGAGCAATGTGGGATGGGACAACATCTAAAAATACCTGAAGACCTTTCAGTTGCTGTTAGTGCCTTTTAATAGCAATACTAAACAGGGGATTGAATTTTAGTCTCAGTCAACTCTTTGTAAAAAAAAAAAAACCCGAACATCTCTTTTGCCTGCAGTGAAGTGACCTTGGAGTCACCCAGTCTCATCTAATAAGTTGTCCCAAGACTGCTGCAAGGCTAAAGTGAAGCACATGTGGATGGGATTTTGGGGGGTTTGGGTTTGGGGTTCTTTTTTGGTTAACAGCCTAAAAGTAGGTTCTGGCCCACAGTTTTGAAGATGTCTGCTCCCGACTCTTTCTGCTTTAGAGGAGATAACTCCCTTGCTCTGTATGCCCCTCTGTCTGTGTTTGTGCTGGGTCTCCTGTGATCTCTAACACAGAAATCGCAGTACTCGATCACGGCGGGCGCTGCTCTGGGCCAGGATCCTGGCTTTGCTGGTGCTGCATCACCTGCTCCAGGAGAAGGAGGAAAATTGCTTGTAATGAATGACTACACAATAACTTGTCTTCAGGGGAATTTGTTGTTTACTAATTCCATCAATTAGTGTTGGGTTTATGCCTTGAAGCAGAAAGATTAATATCTCTTGTATAATATATCTTGTCTACTGCATCTGTTCTGTTCTCATTAGCTGTAGTAAGGCATAATCCTTTTGTTTTAAAATGGAAATTGGAAACAGTGAGAAGTAAGAAAAGATCTGTCAAGAGATTTTTTGTTCCTTTTTCCTGTCAGTTGTCGTAGGGTACCTCTCTGCTCTGTGTGCCATTGCGTGGTTTAGCCTCATTCCTCTGGGTTTCAGGTGTTTATATCCGAGATCTCGCTGTGGTCCCTAAAGCCCCTGCTGCCGGCAGTCACGTTAGAGCTGGATAGGAAAGGGAATACCACCTCAGCCTGCCCCGGCGTGCCTTGTCCCATACAGCCCCAGAAATCAGATCTGGGTTTTGCCCCTGTGTCCCATTACTGCGTCGCAGCAAGCTCACTTGAGATCTTTCTCACTTTTATTGCTTTCTTTGCTACTAAATAACTACGTTTGGAACGTGTTTTGCTCTGGCAGCATGACCTGCTCTACAATTAATAGGATTCCTACCTGGAATTTTACCCTCTCTGGATCTTTTGCATTATTTCCTGGCTCTCATTGTTACTTGCAATAATTCCTTATTAATTGTTATCTGTAAAGTTAATTATTTTGTTGCTATTTACATTGTCTTCCCCATTGTGGGTAGAAATCCTGGCCTCCCCGTAGCTAGAGAGAGGTTTAGCATGGATGTCAGCAGAGCTGGGATTTCACCTGTTCAGAGGCACCGGCTCCTGTTTCACACCACGGCAGAACTTCTCTGCCACTCCTGTCTCAGTTTCTGAAGGTTTATCTGCATGAGGTGGATGGTGGAGAGTCACTAGGACTGGCAGGGTTCGATAACATCGGGGTGCCCGACTCAGATGCGTGTCTGCTTGGCAATTTGGGACTGCAAAGTCAAAGTCAAGCACGCTGGCAACCGGCCCGTTTTCCTGCTCTTCACTCACCAGCATGTCCCATATCATAAATACCCAGGTCAGGAGCATGCATATCTCATCCACTTGGCAATAAATCTCCTAAGTCTGGTGACAAAGATGCTGTTTACCAACTTGGGGGAAAAAAATACGAAGCCTTGCTATTTTTTGCACGTCCTTTGTATGCTTGTATCCGCTTCCCATCTCACTTGCTGACTGTGCAGTCTGGAGTGTCTCCCGACCTCGTGTTCTGCATCAGTTTTTATACTGGTGCGAATCGGATATAAAATGTTGTGGCGCAGAATCATGCCCTCCGTCGGAGTCCTAAAATTTAACGGCTAGCAAAATTTTGTCACAGAGCAGTGACTAAACTTAATTTTACTTTGAGACAACTTTAGGCTGTATGATTTATCAGTACCACAGTATTTTAATGACCTTTTGGCTTTTCTTAACCGCACGCATCAGTGCTCAGATTCTTGCCAATTTTAACTCATTTTTCACGTAAAAGGCACTGTATGAATTTTTTTACGGCGATCATGATATATTTCCTCCTATATTCTTTTTGACTGCAGATTTTGTAATTCAGTCCAAAAAACTATGATAACTTCTATTTTTTTTTTCCTTCCTTCTTCATGGGTCAGTAGTCTTCTAGATGAAGTTGGGTTAACCAGATGATTAAGTCTACAGCTTGTCATATCTGTGGCTTTCCAGACAAATATTGTAATTTTGAAAGATCTTTCTCATAAGACATTAGGTTTTTTGAAATTTCTTGAATTGGACTGTAGGAGAGTGTTCAAATATCCATTAATGCACAAGGTAGCTGACCATTAAAACCCAATGCCACACTGGGAGTGTTTTTTAAGCTTCTTGTTGCTGCTTCTTATGAAAATAAAAAAAGATGAAGTAAACGAGACTAAAAAGAAACCACATTTTAGTCAAAAACCGATCATGCCCAATGATTCATTCAGCTCAGTCTTGCAAGAGGGTGATCCTTGATCTTTTTAATCTGAATCCGGAGATCCCTACGGCACGCAGGAGGAGCTGGACTCGGTACTCTGTCTGCTAGCGGTTCATTTTGTGTGTACTGTTTGTTAGGCTGAAATAACCGGCCTAAGACATGAGAGTTGTCCAGATTGTTATACTTTACAGCTTTTTTGAAAGGCAGCTATATCGCAGCTGTTTGTTTCCAGTCCATGGCTTTTCAGAAACCATTGTTGAGTCATTTAGTAAACTCATCAGTTAATTTCCACAGATGCAGATCATCTGGATTTGCTGATTTGCATAGATTTAAATTTTTCCATGCCGGACCTTTTTTTTTTTTCCTCAAATGTTATAGAAACCTCCCACATTTGTAGCAACAAGCGATACTTTTTAAAAGCGCCTTTGTCCCACTTTGAAAAAGGATTTCACAAAAGTTTGTTTCTGATTTTCTGTGAGATAAATGGAATATTCAGGGAGAATTAAGGTGGACAAAATTAGGATATACCTGTGGACAGAACTTTGCAGTATGCAGAATATATGCAATAAATTGAATATCGAAACAGTTTCTGTCCTGATTTGGCTTCCTTGAAAACATTACCTAAGATTACAGCTGCTTTTTTTTTGCTCTTCCTTTTGGTAAAGGCAAAGACTTGCAGAAATAAACAGTATTTAATGGTGTCTCAACTAATTACACTAAGACCAACAGAGATGTAAATGCAACAAGGGATTGAACCCTTAGCCGGAGCAGAGGATGGGAGGTCCCGTGGACAGATCTGGAGTTTAAGCGCAGATCACATCGACCGCTTTTAATCCCCCGCTTGCTGGTTTCTGGATCATGAATTTGTGCTCTGTATTATTTAGGGAGGCAGTTGATGAGGCACATTCAGCTGTATTTGTCATACACCAGATGTCGGGATAGTTAAAATCACTCATGCTTCCTCTATTTTTAAGCTCCTCAGCAGTTGGTCTGGGATAGTTTGCACATGCGTGTGCGCACACACACACACACGGACTCATTTACAAACTACAGTGTGTGCCATGTATCCTAAATAATGGTACGGTTTCCTGTGACACCCATTCCTAGTGACTGGCAGCGGGCGCATTGAACAACACTCGTGTTTTGAACTGAACAGCTCGGGGTTATCGCTCGCAGTCTCAGGCTTTGCAAGTGTGCTTTGCCCTCCGCACTATTCCTTACCATCCCTTCACCCTTTCTCCCCTGCCACTGGTGACACCTGCTCCCCGCAGGCATATCTGCCAGAGCCATTCTAGTAGATCTCAATGCCTTTTAAGTAAAATGGCCCGTCCGTGGGTTTGGTGCTGTCTCTGAACTCAAACTGCACGTCTCAGATGTGCCGTATATCACTTAGGAGGTTTCAGATGTGCTCGTTAGTTCCTTCTCTTCCTCTGTTCTTCAATTTTCTCTGTCCAGACGGTAAATAATTCTCACGTGTGGTGCTTACAAGAGCCACTCTTCACTTTTGTGTGCTGCTAAACAGCTGCCAAAGGCAGCGCTGACCGCAGTTCGGCAGTGGGTGAAACGAAGCCTCTGCGTACGGTCTGCAAGGATCCTTCAGAGTGGAGGGTGCTCAGCAAGTGTGGTCTATAGTCTGCTGCCACCTAAGCATGTGTTTTGATGAATGGGTGATATTTGGGGAAAAAAAAACAAACAAAAAACAAACCACAACAAAAACCAAACCAAACCCACCCATTCTTTGCTTGCACAATCTTTTTTATTTTAAGAGAAGGATATTTTTTTTTATTTTTATAGACCTGAATGTACCTTTTTGACTTTTTCAACTCACTTAACGAATCCATCTTTCTGTCCCCTTGTCAGGCCACCGGTAGAAGACAGCCAAACCCTGCTGACGCCGGTGGTGAGCTGCGGCCCACCCGGAGCCCTGCTAACCCGGCCCGTCATTTTAACCATGCACCACTGCGCAGAGCCCAACACGGAGGACTGGCAGATCCAGCTGAAGCACCAGACTGCCCAGGGGCCGTGGGAGGTGAGGGTCCGGAGCTCCAGCTCCAGCTGCTAGTCCTTCAGCTGCCTTTCTGAACCGGGATGCCTCTATTTTGGATTTGCCGTGTGAGATGGGTGGCTGCTACGGGCAGGCAGGAGTGCCCTTCAGCACCAGGTGTCTAAGGTGCCCAGTGCCACACAGAGATGCTGCCCATCAAGAGATGGGCAGTTTGGTGCCTCCTACTTTCAAGCTGTTTTCCGTGAAACAGCCTTCATCACAGGATGCTTGAGGTTTTGGTCGTGGCAGGGTATTGTGCCAAAGTCGTGGGGACAGGAGGAAGAGAAAAGGCAAAATAAAAAACAATAACTGAAAATAATTTGTGACTTGACTCTAGAAATAAGAAAATGTTTTTTTACAGAATACTTTTCACTCTCCTG